TGCTTTTCGTATGATCATCTAGTCTTACTTATTAAAGCTTTACAGGCATTCCTAGTCTTACAATAACTGGATCGGTATTGTTCTAAGCCAGTGGAGATGAACATATTCCAGTGCTTCTTCCTTCTAAGTAGTTTCTTAAATGGTTTAGTTGTCCATGGTGGACTATTATTCGGTCTTCGCGGTACCAGGTATGGTATGAACGAAGACGTAACTAAACTAAAATTACCTTTAAATACAGACCATGCTTCTTCAACTGATAAGCTAGTATCTACAAACCAGTCTGTCTTAGCAGCGCATTCGTGAATGGCTGATATGTTAGCTTTCCATATATTTGGGCGGGGTGTTACCTGATCGTATAACATGTCCCTAGTTCTAAACGACAATGACAAAACAGCGTGATCGCTGTTCACTAACGGTGGGAGAACATTTAGGTCGACAATATCTTCAGTATCATGAGTGATTACCAAGTCCAGCAGAGAAGAACCTTGGTTAGCACTAAAACGTGTCGGTTTGGATACATGCTGTTATCAGGAACGTACTATCAAAGGAGTTTATAGATCCTTCTGTGGTCATCTCAGTCCAACTAATGTCAGGTGCATTAAAGTCTCCTATTATCAAGCATCTGGTATTGGTACTCCAAAGATGAATGTGCTCTAAAATAAAATCATCAGCTAAGCTGATTGGGCTGCGATAGATCACACCGAGCATAAATGTACTACACCCGATATCCAATTTACAGCTAATGACTTCACAAGTACCGCTGTCATGGGATTGGCTAGCAGAGGAGCGTACATTTATATTATCGGCTATATATAACAGGACGCCACCTCCTTTTCTACATCTATGTCTATCACTCCTTAGGTAATGGTATCCCGATAATTCTAAAGTAATGTCTAAGTCATGGACTAACCAAGTTTCTGTCACCGCTACGATGAGTGGCCTTAATCTGTCCACTAATGCTTCTAGTTTGTAGAACTTATTTCTTAGGCTACGAGCGTTGGCATATAAAACTCCTAGGTAGAACGGCCTATCCACACAGGCCTTGGTAGCATTCGCTTCCAAGACCTGACTATCCGAAAACCAACTAACCGGAGATTTTCCTCACCATTTTGTTGACGGATTTCTAGTTCAGCTAGGGCTTTCTTTTTATTCTATCTTCGAGAGACATATCAGGTCTAACTCGGATATCAGAACTGTCGTGACAACGAGCATTACTTAACAGGAGATCCCGTTGCTTCTCTGATCCTAGGATTACCTTAAGGAGTCTGCATGGTCGAGGTTCAGCATTGCCTATTCTAACCAGCTTTTTGACCTGAACTCCTTTAGAGTTATCTGGTAAGATACTACGAATATATTCTCCCAGCTTCTCTAAATCATGCTTGTGTCTAATTTTGGGATCAAGGTCTTTTGACTCCAGCAATTTGCTTACAATAATATTCGATGATATTAGATTCTTCTTTTCAGTCACGCCTTTGTGGGTTTCCCTCTTACTATCGGATTTAGGTAGTGCGTTTTGTGACTCACAATGGGAGTTCACCAATGGCTCGCTAACCACCTGCGCACTGTCCACAGCTTTCTTCTTTTCGCTTCGTTTTTTCCGTACTGTAGTCCATTTTTCATCCCTGAGGATACCGGAACTATTTGCAACAGTGACGGTCTTATTCAAATCTTCAGTTTCCACTAGAGGTGCATGATTACCGATGTCAGTTTCAGGTGGTGCTTCTTCCCTCGTTAATGTTAACGGAGATTTCACTTTTCCGTCAATCAAATTCGGGTGTTTGAGGCGTCTCGTAACAGCAGGTACTACACTGACACATTCGTCACTGTCAGTGCTCGTGTTATCAGCGCATGCGATATCGTTTTTCTTACAGGCTAAAGCCAATAGGCTCATAGACTCCTGTATTAGTAACGTCTTATTTGCACAGCAAAACATGCAAAGCCAATGTGAGTTAGATTTCGAACATCTTTTGTATGCATTGGGACTTAAACGGGCGCACATCTTATGGAACCACCTTTTGCATTCATAACACTGCCTTCCTTCCTCCACAGGGAATAAACAGTGTGGTTGTCCACATTTATGAGTACTACCAACCATTTTAGTCAGATTAAGGTGTAAAACACAATATGAACACATTATGATCACTAGTGTCAGTCATTGAGTAAAAGGGTACCACAAGACAAACCTTAGAAAGATTTAAAACCTTAACTAAAGTACTTTAATATAGACCAAGAATGCTTTTGATGTAACAATTACATAAAAGCAAGGATAATCACAACAAGTACAAAATCACTGCCCTTTTTGTACGGTGTTAAAACTAAGAGGACTGCCATAACCCTCACTAAAATGGTACAGATATTTATAAACATCCGTTTATACAAAATACTTCAGATCCTTCGAGCGGAGATCATCTACTGTGGTAGAGAACAAACTAAATGGTAGTTGAGGTGAAGATTAGGGAAAGCCGCTGAAGGTGGACAACTATGGAACTGTATTACGAGGCAAGCCCTAATTCGGATTGATCAAGGTAAAGGGAAAAGATACCAACTAAATAACACATAGTGTAGGGGACTGAGGTCAGATATAATGGCGATGAATGGTACTTGGTAGCAACTGGAGAGGAGAACCCATGACAGAGTTGGTTGGAGGTCTTCGGTTGATGGCCTGTGCCCCATGAGGGGTAACAGGCTTAAGTAAGCAAATGATTTTTTACGGAAAAACTACGGACAAAATAAAGGAGATTAGTGTATTGGCTTCATTGAATTTGAAGCTATTCATTTCTAAGCTCATGCACGAGCCATAATAATTGTATCAAATTATAACACAATTAAGTTAATACCTACTCTCCTCTATTCACAAATATTATTTTGAACGGAAGATAACTTTGACCTCAACCCAACCTTTGTAGTGTTGTATCGAAGTTCTTTAAAGTGAATATTTACGTTTTTACAGGGTTTAGCCATTCAATAATTCAAACACTCCATGCATATTCAAAAGCATTTTTGTAGTTACATTGAAACCTAACCTAGAAGTATCGATCTTAACTTTTGTTTCTATCTTCTAATTTTTTTTTGCAATAAATTCTCTTCAGGTTATACAATTATATATCCAAATGAATAATCCCAAAAGTGGTTAGGTTTAAGATAAAATATATCGTTTATAATTATAGCATGTGAATTTAAGATCGTAAAATAAAATAAAATTTTTAATAATGGGATAACTAATATAAAGTGTTAACTGAATTAAATTTATACATTAAATGAAATGATGAGTTTATTGGTGAGAATAAATATGATTAACATAATACGAGAAAGATTATCATGTAATTACAAATGAGAAATTACTTAATATATAGAATAATATGAATTAGATACGAATTAGTAAATAGAGTTGGATACTGAAGAAATTTCTCAAAAATATTGACAGCTATTCATTCATATTATCTATGTTTTAATATGATAATAATTTTCTAGCGATCTACCAATTTATCAATTTGTGTATAATCAGATAGGTCTTGGGTTCGAATCTCGCGGGGGGCGGTATCTTGGATGTGCACTGCTGAGGAGTCCCAGGTTTTCCATGGTGGTCTAGCGTAAATTGAATCATGATTTCAACTTTTGAAGTATAATCAGATTGTTGAAAATGTTTCACACTAAATATTTATCATATTATTTCATTACATTTTGACTTTTAGTTACTTTAAATAAAATAAGGTAATTAAATCAATAATAGTGATAATAATCGTTTAAAAATCTCATCACACTTACCTTGTTGCTTTCCAATTGTTAATCATAATATGTTCGATTCCAGTTGGAATGTTCCTTATGTTGTAGGTGGTTAATTATAGTCGTTCAGAAGTTTTGGTAGTCTGGAATCGTCCATTAGTTTGTATTCAGCAGTTTTCGTTTTTAAGTGTAATTTATCGCAAACTAATATATATATATATATATATATATATATATATATATATATATATATATATATATAACAACGAACGCAACTCAAAGGCGATCACAAAAAACATTGTATCCACTAGAGGAAATGCATTAATTTTCTGGAATTGATGTTTCAACCTTTTTTTTTGTTGAGAAATATCGATTTCTGTTTCTTATTCATTTTTTAGAAGTTTAATAAATTGATAAAGGTTTTATACACACGCATTTACATGTTATTTAGACAATTAAATCTCGCTTACTAGAGTGATCTTAGTAATATTAACTAATCAAAAGATTAGTTACATTTTCTGTCACAATAATTCATAGACAAATAAGCTTAGTAAAGAAATATTATTCGATGTTGTAAGCATTTCGCTTTCAATTTTCCAGTTGTTAATTCACATAAAAATTTACTTAAGACATATAAGTTGTATCTCTAGACATCACACGATTTTTTTTCTCCGTTTATGTATATGTATTAATTACTGACATCTGAGAAGTAATCATGGTGATATTGACCGATTCAATGATATTCGTATATATTGTTTTTACTGCATTTCATTTGGTGTATATTATTCAACAGCTTTTACGTAGTTTGTTTACTGTGACTTTTTCATAAGATGTATCAATGCTGATGTGGTTTCTGTATAATATGATGCGAAAGATTTGTGGTTCAGATAGATGTTACACTTGATCATATTCTATTCTCTTAGCTGGACGGTTAAATTGTGTAGTTACCCACTATTCTTCCACATAGATTTGATATAGCTTTTTATTCATTTTTATCTCAATTATAAGTCTTGCTTGAATTTCACATACATGTAATGTGTTTACTTTAAATGTTTTTGACAGTGTTTACTATCTTTTCCACTTAACAATTAATATTTACTAATGTCATTAACCTACAATGATACTGATACACACCTTCATTGGCTAAAAAGTTATGTTGGCCTGTATGAATATATATATATATATATATATATATATATATATATATATATATATATATATATATATATATATATAAAACTTGGTTCAAGTGTTATATTGTTATTGTTGTCTTTTAGAAAAGTTCCCTAGTTGGTTCCTCCTCTCCTTTTGATCCTAAAAAAGTTAAAGTTACTGTTCAACGTCCTGGTGACCAAAAGGCTTATCAATGTGGACCACATCTTAGAAAAACGAAGAAAACAGATTCAGTAAGTGGTTTTCCATTGTTTATTTTAAAAAAGCTTGCTTTTCCCTTTTTTGTTTAGTTAATTACATGTTTTTGTTGTTTATTCAAGCCCTGGTACGGCCAAGTGTGGGGTGGGTCAGCCTTCCCTCTCGAAATGCTCTCACATGGCCACACATATACAGCCACTTCCAGGGAAGCACTACTCACTATCTTCTCTCGGAAGGGGCGTTGTTTACGAAATTGAGAGGACGTAATTTCTGGCATTTTGACTTGGTCAATGGACACAGAGGATCCACCTATCGAGTTCGGAAAACCCTGATTCCAAACAAATGGTACACATGGGCTCCAGAATCGTGAGGGAATAAATGACGTATCAACCTATTTTTGGTCACCGACTACTATGGACTTGATCTAACGTTGCTCTACTGCGTTATGGATCAGACCTTTAGGTTAAAGACTTGAGGAGTGGCTCCCAAAGAAAACTACCTGTTTTGTTTGGATGTCCGGATATTATCAAAGCCTTTATACATATCCATGGAAACTACTACTGGACTTATTGTTGTGTGGTGCATATGTATTTGGTGCCTCCTTGTACCAATGTCTTTGTGTGTAAATAATAAATAGTACAAAATGTGTTTTTGTGAATCACACTGCTGACATGTTAACTAAATTTTGGGTCAGTTGAAATTTTCAGAACTACTGTCTGATGAATTTTGGCTTATATTTTTATTGTATTATTATTTTAACGCTCGAACTTCTGTATTCTTATAATCCTGAATTTGAAATTTTCGTTGGATCTAGAAATCATCGTTGTTCAAAATTTAACTACTATTTCCTTGTTGATCCTTCTTTGTGTCTCTTATGTCTCAGTTTGTGTATACATTACAATTTCCCACTTATGTTTTTATGCAGCCAGAGTATTCAAAGTATACTGCTGTATGAATTTTGGGTCATGAACGAACAAAGTACAATGGAAATATGTGCTTACTAATTTCATTTTCTTACTAGACACTGAGTTTGTAAGTAACCCAAGGACCAGTAGCAGCTAAGATTTCGGTTGTTGCTATTTGGTCCCTTTCTTTGTTAAAATAGGTTGTCAGTCTTCCAGGCAGTATAGATGAATAGGTTAATAATCAGGCTGGACGGTACAATTGCTCCCATAGTAACAATCTGATTACACGGACCCCAAACACAGTTCTTGGATCTGTTCCACTTTAGGATGATAACTACTACCCTCATATCTTGTTCAACAAGGAATCTTGTTAATTATTGTAAAATTGAATAGTATAGTTCTTAACAGAAAGATGTAGTCGCATTTATATTTTTTCTTCAGTTCTCGAATAAATTCGCACTTCGGTTTAAGAGATCCCTACCATACAACCTTACGGTCTCGTGCCACGTTTAATCTAGCCTGTTCACCTTGTTTATTTTTCATTGTTCTATTATTTTGATAATATATATAGTATTTCTCAGTGTAGTCAGTATAAAGCAAGGTACAACTTATAGCAATATTTCTCGACTAAATATAGATTCAAATAATCATTTAGGCATTATTCATATTACAAATTACAGATGGCAATGAATAAACAAATTGACGTTTTAATAAATGGGTGTTTATAATACGTTATACGAAGATTTACTACATGGAACATCTTTCTCGCAAACTCAAGTTCTATATCAAAAATTCTCTTCCGATTTATATATTGGGTCTGTGAATACGCTTTCTCTTTCATAATGAATTTTAATGAATATGAAGGTCGAGCTAAGAATGGTTGGTTCCTTCTTTCAGAAACTGTATAAATAAATTTCACGACAGCTTAAACATAGAGTATAAGTGAGGTTTCGTTTTCTCGCTACTTAAACTCAACTGTGACAGCTTGTTTGTTTGTTCTACCTAGATTTTCTCCGTATGGCATCAGTTTATGAAATCATTAACTATTGGACTGAACCATGTAGGTAGATGTAGACTATCTAGTTGAGGTCCGCGTTGCCTGGTGAAATGGCTCAAAACTGTACTCAATGGGGCTGGTGCATTTACTCTTTGTATTTCCTAAGTTTCCAAATCTTTTATAATTCTTCATTTCACTAATTAATATTTTCATCTGAAAACGTATCTTCAAAGCCTAATCTTTTTTGCCACTAATACTATTACTACCTCTACTACTGTGAGATTTTCCTTGATTATTTCACCTTACTGTGCTAATGGGATGTGGGAACTTGTAACGATGCATACAGCTACCAAGTTTTACTTGGTGTATTACTGACTGGTTGATACATAGACTTTTATGCTCCTTTATGGGAATATATTTAAAGACTACCTCAATCACCCGATTTGAAAGACATTTGATGCAGTAATTTCTATCCAATGAATTTATGGTTGATTTACAACTTTTATTGATACCATTCATTTTTACAGTAGTTTAGTGCCTACATCGGTTGATCGTTATATTTAGTATATTGGAAATTAAAGTTAAACAACTAATCGCTTCTTAAAAATCTAGTTACAAACCTATTCCAGTAGTGTAGGAAATAATTTCTTGACAGCTTTACTTAGATTTTTAATGTGAGATGATTTTTTTCTTCTTAAATCTTCCATTTTCCTGTGTTTTTATTTAGATAGAATTCAATTCATAAACCAGCTATAAAAACGAATATACGCTGGTTCAAACTATTTTAGTTTTAAGACTAGATGTTCAGCTCGTAGTATCCCTGTGAGATTTAAACAAACAACTAGCGTGGAATTCTTTGGTCTAGGAGGAGTTATAACATTAATGATGGTTAACTACTTCATAGAATTTGTGTTCTAGATTAAGTTATACCTCTTGGATAAACATGTTTTCTAATGCCTGACTATCGAAATGTAAGTAGAGGAGAGTTCGGATCCATGATAAAATGGGCTATATAATCTGCTTTTATGTATTTGAGTTCTTACATTTATTTTTTATTAACCAAAATAAACCTGAAAATATAATTACTGTGACCATTATTCTGACATTATAGGTTTGTTATGATTGGTAAAATGTGACAGACTTTAAAATCTATCACTTAGTGTTAAAAGCAAATCAAAATTAATGTCATAAATATTTTTTCGACACTGTCTAATCTATCCTTGAAACTATTCTGTTCTAATTTATGCCTATTTCTATTTGCTTGCTTATTTTATTGAAAATATTAATGGAATCTGTGTATGAATAGACTTTCATAAATCTGCATTATAAACAACAAAACTTTCTCAGTTCGGTTTGTTTTTACGTATCATTTTTTACATAATATTATATGCACATAGTTTTTTGGCGGAACAAGTAAATTCTAAGGTTACAAAACCATAACATTGAATTGATTTAATCGTCATTTAGCATTCTCACCTTTCTATTATTAACGCTCTATTATTTTTCTTTTCCGTACTTTCCTGTCATATGATCCATTTCGCCTTCTTTCTCCCTCCCAAACGCGTACAAACATTTACTTACAAAATGATCATAATGAATATGAACTGACAAAACAAAACCTCATTATCATTTTTAAAAAAATGCTTGTTTATTTGTATATGTGTAAAAGGATGCTATCAAAGAAATTAATCGTTGTCGTGAGGAGAATACTACACGTTTAGATTTAACTAAAGGTCAATTACACTTTCTACCACCATCAATACGTGATGTTGCACATCATCTAAAAGAACTTTATCTATATTGCAATAAATTAGTGAATTTGCCGAGTAAGCACTTGTTTTATGCTTGTGTGTATGTTAAGCTATTTGTGCTACATAATTTTCATGTTTTTCGTTATTTGTCTGTTTTGTGAATAGTAATAATAATAACGTTTAAGTTTGCTTCGTTGTAATAATTGTTGTTAAAATCTTCATGACATTTTTATGTTTAAAGATACATACGTTTTAATGTAATCCATTGAATTATATCGTCACTGAGGTCTGGACATCTATAACATTAACTGCTACTCCGTGGTCAGTGAATGTGGAAATTGCAGTCCTACAAGAGGCATTAGCTTCCGCAACATTAAAAGGATCCTTTTTCTAACAGCTGTAAGTATCATCAAATATAGGTATAGGGCTTTCTGCTGATTCCATATGATTGCATAACATAAAAACGAATTTCAGCCGTATATCAGTCCTCTTAACTTATTACTTCAAATATACAACATGATGAATAGCAGATTTTAGTATCAGCATTAAGAACTAAATAATAACATGAAACTATGTACAACCCAGTGACTAATTAGTGTCACCTGAAGTTTGGTTATCTCAGTATCTTCATAAAAAGTCTTAACCAATCGATATGTCTATGACCAACAATTTATAACTTTATGAACTGATGTAACGTTTTAATCTAACCGTTCATAGTCTTTTACTATCTACTAATAACCTTGGATACCATGAAAAGTCTGCTTCAAAGATGATGTATCGTCACAGTTCAACCTCTGTGTTACTTAGTGGATTAGACCAGACCACTGATACTGCAATGACACATTTATAGTCTATTACTATCAACTGATGCATATACGTTAATATGGGGTTGTAGAGTTTCATTATAATGACATAACTATTGAAAACCTGGAAGCACCGTTAATTATTTGTGCGTAAAACTGAAGATCCTGGGTTCGGTTCCTGGTTTCTAGGTCGTGAATTCTCCCTACTAAGGAGCCCCATACTAGGATGAAATGGCTGTTAGTACTCCCTGGTTTTCAATGTTTGCCTAACTTAGATCGGCTTGTGATTTTAGTAATGCATATGCTTTTACCTTCTAAAATTAAAATACCTGTATATTTTGTATTATTTGTAATTTCGTACCTTTTTTCCTACTAACCAGGTGTAGTGTTTTTCTACTGAAATATATGTACACTTAGATGTGTTCACATTACGTTTTGTACACATTTATTGGGAATATAGGTAAACACGTTATTACATAAATTGCTTTATATTTACATATAAGCTTTATTTATTTATTGTTGTTCTATCTGATGTACTACATATGCTTGTGTTGTTTTCTTTCATTTTCTTTTCTACTTTTTTTCTATATGCTTAGATGAAATTGGTACATTGTTTGCATTGGAAATTTTAATGGTACAAGAGAATTCATTAAGTGATCTACCAGAAACATTAGCACAATGTACACAATTACGTGTATTAGATATAAGACATAATAAATTATGTGAAATTCCTCAAGTTGTTTATAAACTACATAACTTAACACATTTATTTCTACGTTTCAATCGAATTCGTGTAGTGGATGAAGAAATTAAATATTTAACCGTAAGAAAAATCAAATTTTAAAAAGGCTTTGTATTGCTTGTTTTTTTGTTCTTATTTGAACATTTTTTTCATTTTCCCAAAAGTATATTACAACATTTAAATGAAAGGTAGTAATTCATTTAAACATATATGAAAAATCAGTAAGCGATCTTATTTTGATCTAAAAAGTAAATACTACACAAATATGATATAATGTGTATAATTCGAACATAAGTTAGCATTAAAATTCACTGATCACTGAACAGCAACCAATGTCATTTTTGTCAAATCCTTTGTTGCTGATCGAATCCCATCCATTAAGTCACAATGTCATCACTAGTATAAGTGACTCGACATCACATTCTCTATATTAATATGTGATGTGATTGGAAGTAGTCGACAGGAAGCTCTCTTTGACCTAAGCTTCGTGCTAATTGGCATTCGTCAGCAAAGAGTACCCTAAATCTTAAGGGAATCGATGCTATCTGTGAGATTCGAACGTGTGTGTTTTACTTAGCTTCCTAGTCTGAAGCGTTATCGCTGAATTAGTTTTTTTAAAGTTTGATATTGATTTTAAAATCATCTTAATATTACTACTAATTTGGCTTTGTAACTTTTATCATTACTATTAATATGAATATTGTCATTATTATTATTATTATTATTATTATTGTTATTATTATTATTATTATCGGCAGATCCGCTAACTTGTCTATTGTTATTGATTTAGTTATTTCGATTATTTGCATATTTTCAAAGTAACAAACGTAACTAACCTAGATGTTATGTATTGAGATTATCTCATGACTTCTATTACCAATGTATTTACCATACCCTGGATAGACAGCCACATTTATTATACCATTCATTTTACAATATTTTAATTGATTGAAAAGCTTTTGTAACCACTATTTATTAACCAATCACATTTCACGTTTGTTATATGCGTATGTTTGTTTATCTATCTATTAGGAATTCTGTTAGTTTGTATGTGTTTATCCTTGATCATTTGGTCTGTAAAAATAAAACCCTAGATCATTTGGATGTATATTTTATGACGATAATTTTCACGATTAAAAAAAAACGATAATCGCACTCTTTCCGTGATAAAACGTATCATTTTCGTTATCACAATATTTCTTTTCGTTAAAATCATGACGTAAAATATCATTTAATCATGATAACATATTCATTAAAATTTTTTTGATTTTGGAAGTAAACTTAAAAAAAAACTAGTGATCAATAACTACATAATAGACAAAGTTAAGAGATAACTAAATAGATCAACTAGAAAAGATTAAACAACAAAGTTTAATCTCAGAAATCCTGTTTGAAGTTTTGAAGTTGACAGGTATAATGACAAGAAGACTATATGGTTTGCCTAAGATACGTGAAAACAACATTCTATTCTTACCGGTCTGAGATAATGACTAGTTTTGGTTATCACACTACAACGAAATGGTCAGTAAGTAATTCTGGAACCAAAGAAATGTTAAAGCAATTGGTAATTGAAGATTATTCTAAAAGATATCATCATGTAAGATAAGATATTATGTCGTCTTCAAAGATGCTTTCGTAGACAAGGAGCTCATATCAATAGAATATACTGCTGTTTTCTCAATATTAATGTTGCATAAATGACCGACCAGCTTAAAGAAATCTCTCTGTAAATACTTGCACTAACGACTTCGAATATAGTTCAATAGTTTTGTTAGCCACTTAGATTATGGGTAGGCAACTGACACGTGAATAAAATCGATGATAGAAGGTTGTTAGTTTTATGAATTTGAGAGAATCTTTTTAAATGCGAGTACTCAGAACCCACATGTTTTAAGTCACTAATCTCCCCTTTATTAAAGATAACAATGTCTAGCAGTTTCACTAAAATTGAATTTACTTTTCCCCTGACTTACTAATTCCTTAAAGTTAAGTATCATTTATAAACTTAATTTCATCATGATGAATAGGTATGATCTTACTTTCGTAAAAACATACAATAAAATGATTCATTCAAAGTTGTTGACAAACACTTATCTTCCTTCATTGCCAAACAAATTTGAACATAGGTTATAAGAGTAATCTTAGCTCAACCTTTATAATTTTATACAAATGTTGTCTAGGGTGAATACTTAGGTTTGTTGGGACATTTATATAGAATTTTAAACCCTATTTGTGTGTTTGGAAACGATTTGTACTTGCACTAAACTGACGCTGTTATCACGTCGTTTATCTAATTATTTTGATTTTCATACTACAATTTGTCTAGTTGACCTATATATATATATATATATATATATATATATATATATATATATATATATATATATATATATATATATATATATATATATATATATAACTAAGCAAGTGATTGTGTGATCAGATTATTCAAATTGTGATGCGCTTATATACCGCATAATTATTGGAAACTTGGTCTTCCCATTGGTTTATCAAAATGAATTTTATTTCGTTGTAAGAAAATGTATTCTCACTTTGAATTGACACAATAATCAGCTGCATTTTTATTCATTCACTCTTTGGTTAGGGTTCTTTTATATGAAAGCGATTTGTATTACTGACCAGTATTCAACTTCAGTTATTCATTTGTGTTAAAAATCCGGGGAGTTAATAATCGAACTACTGTTGCATTGTATTGATTTTGTAATTTATCTTTATCTTTTCTTAAAATTAAAATCAGAACTTATCTCAACTTTTTCTTCATTATTTTGCTTTAAATAGAAGCTTCAAGTTCTTAGTTTACGAGAGAATAAAATTCATACACTCCCAGCTGATCCTGGTATCGGTCAATTGACCAATTTGATTACATTAGATGTTTCACATAATCATTTGGAGCAATTATCTGAAAGTGAGTAGATTTATTCATTGACATTTATATTTACCATCATACATGCTTCATAGTTAATTTCATCATCCTACTTACTGCATCACCTATATTCCTTACTTTTCTAAGACTGATATTTCATGAATATGTTAACATCATAACCCAAAATTGTTTAATTAGGTGAAATTTGGTTATGTCATCACATCGTGTGTATTTTATAATGTACTGTGATATACTCTACATATCGAAACTCGCTAGAACTCTAACATTACGCATTTGAAATTTGACAGAATCTGTTCAGATACTAACGGAGTCGCTATTAATACTAATAATTATTACTATTATTATTATTATTATTATTATTATTATTATTATTATTATTATTATTATTATTAGTCGAGTACATGTAGTTTGTACACATTGATCAAAGTATAATTCACCATATCACCATACAGATGATCAAATCTATGCAGATTTTAGTCAACTATAAATAACTGATCCTGTATAAAGATATATTAATTAAAATAGTATTTAATGGATACACTTTAATGTTTATGTGTATCAAACAATTATCATTAATTTTTTACATTATTATAATATGAAATATTTATTAAATAAGAAACAACTTTTAATACATCTAGCCTATGTACTCCATATATACTGATTACATTTAAATAGGAAGTTACTTTCATTAAATTTTTTTTTGTCTCCCTAAAGTTGGTCGTTTTCATCACAGAATAATTTCATTGAACTTTCTTTTCTTCCGTACTTTTCTACACCTAAAATCTCTGTTCCTTTGAAAATTTTCAAGCCTTTCTAAAGGAAAACAATGTTCAAATTAATATCTCTTCTATTAATTAGTAGTTTATTATATTTTATTTTAATGTTATATTATTTATTTTCGATATTATTCTCGTATAATCTGGAAAAACTATATTTCAAAGGTGTCCTAAGGATAAAAGCTGTATATTGATCAATTTGTTCTATTGGCTATTATTTTGCGTATTGCTAAATGTTTCTACACAGATTTCTGGATTACTGGTTATATATCTCCAGTCACAGTTATTCTCTTCACATTATTGCATGTTTGTTTACTATGTCTCATCCTAGTATGGGACTATTCTACTGTATGCATACACCATCCCGCACGCGGAAATCGGACCCAGGACCTTGGGTCTCACGCGTGAACACTTAACCTCTAGACCTTCGAGTCTAACTTCGACCAATCTACGATATTGCGTTATTATTATGTTTCGTAAACTTCCTCCTTCAATAAGTATTTATTTACTTAAAAAATGCATTTAAACCTCACATTCCACCTAACCAAATTCTAATAGATATTCGTTAACCTATAGTTTTTCATATATATATCTTTGAAAATGAACTCGTTGAAAAGGATCACTTCACTTGATTGAGTTGTATCAATACAATAGTTAATTTGTTTGAGTACTGCTATGTATAATTAATAGTTGAACAGTTTATTTCAAAAGTATTATTAGAAACTACATACACTCATGACATACATCCAGTTTTCTTGATTTATAAAATTATTATTCTCCTATAACTAATTACATTATACTCTGCATATAATATAATTTGTTTTACTAACCTCTTCTTATTAGTTCATTTATTCGTATACGTATTATTTTCAATGACACGTTTTTAATGCTTATTTTAATCAGTTGAAAATTTGTGTTAACTAAATTTTCTAACAAGCCAAAGTCGTTGATTTCTTCTTAAACTATGTAAAACGTGTTACACACATTTATACATTGGCTGCCGCATTATATGAACACAGAGATGTATATTTATCAGGACCTATTCCTCAATATCTAAGGGAAGAAAAATAGTGAATACATTTGCATCAATATCACAGATTCTGGGTCATTTCACTCAACGTCTCCAATCATGGGTTTTAACAATCGCATAAACCAACACAACTAACTAGTCAACTACAAACACAGATCCGTTTAACAGTCAGTGACTTCATAAACCGACGTCATATTTTAGACTAGTTGTCCTTACTTTTTTTCCAGTTTACGCCTAACTAGCAACAATTCACAAGTCACAAATGGCTTTTAGTTACTTCCGTTATGTTGACTCTAATTAATAATGTTTTTATAGCTTTAAGTGTCTTTTTTTCAATGTATCAAATTTACAGCTTGATTTTGAATAATAATATATTTAAAATTTTTTATTGGTTTTGATACCGATTAATTAGAAGATTATGGAATAATATAGAAATAATTTATGTTTTTTAGTTTCCGATACTTCAGTTCTTTTTCCAAACTCTAGCTGCCATATATATTCAGTGATTAGCTGCAAACGTTTTCCGAGATTATGCTGAAAACCAGTTACCGATGAATTTAATAAAATCAGGATTTAAATAGTAGGTCATCGACGACATAAGTTACAGAGACAACCTTTTTTACTCAATTATGACGTAGTGCTTTAAAGATATGCTTATTGCGTAATCGGAAATTTATAATTTAAATTTAGTGGAGGAGGTAACAATGAATGGATACTCTTGCGTAGCAGCTAAAATATATGACAACTATTCAGATCTTGTATTTCTCATGTGATCTAATCTCATTCAATTAGTAATAGATGAAATCCTTAAAGAAAATGATTGTGTTATTTTAAATATGTATGCTCAATATTGTTTTTTTTGTTTTCTTTGTCTCTTTTTTCTTCCTATATGAAATAAAGAAATTGGCCATTGTCAAAAATTGTGTACATTAAGCTTACAACATAATGAACTACGTTCGCTACCGAATACAATTGGTGATTTAAAAATGTTAGAAAATATTGGCTTAAAGTTAGTTATAGTTATTATGAAATGTTAGCATTTTTTTTCTATAGTTTATTTATATGTGATTAATTGTCAAATTAGTTTTGCTGTTTCCTTGGTTAACATTTGCTTATTTCGAAAAAAATTGTGTTTATGTTTACATTTTTAATATTTTACAATATTGTTCCAGAAATATTTGTTAAAAAATTAATAATTCATTGTTTTCCAAATGTCATTTAAATTTCATCATTGTCGATGGTCGTATGTTCAAGATTGAACAGTGTTGAACAAATATGTTTTCTTACTAAAGAGCTGTTTCTACTACTTAGCTACATCAGGAATGCGTTACAAAAAATTCTCAAATCTTTTATATTTAAGATAATGACATGAATCTCTGATAGTCATTCATTTACTGGATTATTTACATTAAAACTATCACTTTATAAATGACTTAAATTCAGCATTACTGAGTTTTTCAGTAGTTTGTTGTAATTACAAATCATTGTACTAATCTTAGTGTGTATTACTTACTGTAGATTTAGATCTGTTAGTTTAAATCTGAATTTAAGCTTATTGAATATCACAAATGAAAATGCTTGTCCACAAGTGTAAGTTAACCCGAAAAGGTAAACATTTTACTTGCGAAAGTTTTCGAAGTATGCAACGTATTTTCTTCTAATGATAAAAGGAATGCTTTTATGTCTGAGGATTTCACTCAGGCTATTTTTGGTTTAGTGATTAAGATATTAATTCCTCGTGAAGACTGTGATTATCTCCTCTATTAATAAAAAAGATAGAACAGTCAATAATTTCAAGTTCAGTTTAAACACTTTAAATTCCTTAAAACTTCGTGAAATTTGTGTACTCTGAAACTATATTATTAATTGGATTCCGGCTAGACTTGTTTTTGTGCTTATTCTGCTGTTTCAAGCGTAATTCGTTTTTTTCCAGTTGCTTAAACAATGTAAATAAAAAACCATCGTTTAATACTCTAGAATAAAATACAATGTTTCCTCAAAAATATTTCATATCACCTTCTGAACATTTTTTACGCATATTTCTAAATACTCAAAGTTTTCCGTACCTTTGTTAACATTCCTTTCTCAAAGATTCATTGTTTCGTATAATCTAGTAGACAGATAGATGTTTACTGAACTGTATTTCTTATTGGCTATTTACTAACTGTTTTATTTATACATTTTATTCTCTTCAGATATAATCACTTGGAATCATTACCAGATTCGTTAGCACTTTGTACAAATCTCTTAGAATTAAATATTGAAGGCAATAATATTTGGCAATTACCGGTAAGTGTAAATATTCTTGATTGATTTCCCCTTTTTATTTTTCTCTGCCGTGTTTGTTTTCTTTGCGTAAATTTTCTATATTGAATTCAATTATTTTAAAGAAAGTGAAACCCATGCACTGTACATGAAATAATTGTTTTTAAAAACTAATGGTTATGAAAAGGGTACTCTAATTTAAGGAATTATTTTGTTACCTGTGCAATAACATAAAAGCTGTTCGAATAAATCATCAAAATAGTTATATTTCAAAAAATAATGAAGGTGAGCAATGAACTCTTTCGAGAATTGTTGTTAAAACAATTAAAGCTGGTTGGTTGGTTGCATACACATTTTCATTAATTTACAAATTGAATAACAGTATTCAAGTAAAAGCATAATAGTTTATTTATAGAATACTGATGAGAACTTCACATATGTACCTATTGCGTTGGTTGTTTTTACCTCAAAAGTGATTGTTCATACAATAAGGCAATAAGTCGAACCTTTTTTCTTTATACATTGTTATTATTATCATTTTAGACATATAAGCAGGTCATTTTATCTTGTTTGTGAATGGGAGTCCGGTATGAATTAGTGATGGATCTCTGAAAAATATTCATTTGCAGAAAACAAACATCAAATGACTTAGCTACTCAATCTCTATGTTTGTGTTCCGTAAATCAGAAAGAGGAATTTTATTTGTTCTTAGTATTATCGAATATAAAAGATTTACCTCACTGTACGTGGGTTAAGGAAAAACTTTCTTAGTTTCGAAGAACGACAACAAGATACGACAAAACGTTACACAATCTTTCATTGTTATTAATCACAGTAATATAAAACGTAGTATTGAAATACTTCTATTATATCACCATGTTCATTGATTGTTTTTATATATCCACAAAATGAATATCTGAATATATTACAAATGATCATTTTATCAATTTTGAAAAACTAGCCATTCCTATCCTTATTTAAATATAAAAAAATCACAAAAATATTGTCAAATACATTTTTTGGTGTTTGCTTATCCTTTATTATCAATATTTTCCCAAGGACAATTTATTCCATTCGTACTTTTTTTGTTGTCATTAAATTATTCACAAGGAGGGACTGTTAACACATTTGAAAAAAGTTTCCTGTGTGACATTGTCAAGAAATTATTTTAATATTTTTCCATCTGGTGGTCCTCAACAATTTACTTCAATACAAGTTAGTTATGTTCTATAATCTTTCATTAAGCTTGTATTTAAAGTATTATTTATCAATAGTTTTTGGTAAGAATATTTTAAGTTATTTGCTTAGTTTGATCACATCTATTTTAAAACTTATATTGTTAGTAACTGAGTACTTCCGTTGTAACTATATTCAAGATTGAATTGATCATCAATCTCTGTCGACAATTCAGACTATACAGACTTCAGAAATATGATAACATAAGCCTTTATATATTGATGAGTAACAAAATTTTGACTTGGGTTTAGAAAGCCTACTTGAACTTTTCCAGATTGACATGGCTCAGAATCGGATGGTCTATAAGCAAAGTGTTTGCGCGTGAGACCGAAAGCTTTGAGTTTGAATCCAGCGGGCGGAATCTTTGGTGCACACTGCTGAGGAGTCTCACTATGGGACGAAATGGCCGTCCAGTGCTTCCATCTCCATATTAGTTAATTAATAACGATTGTCAATTTATATCAATGTTATTCCTATTGTTTGTCATAATCTATCACTTCATTTGTACTATTTAAACTTTGTTGACTTATTGAGGTTATTTATTTACTCTGAAGAAGTGGCTTACATTAACTCACGAAATGGAATTTTTCTACTCATTGGGTTATTTATTTATTTTAACACATAGGTATTGGTACAAGGAGGCACCAAATACATATGCGCCACACAAATCTCAATTGATTTGTGTGAGGGCTGTGATACTGCTCGGGTGCCCAAACCGAAGCAGGTGGTTTTCTTAGGGGGCCACACTCCCAGTCTTCGACCTGAACATCTGATCCACAAGGCAGTGGGGCATCGTGAGGAGATGCAGTCCCATGGTAGCCGGTGACCAACGATTGGTTCATACGCCATTTGTTCCTTCAGGATACTGGAGTCCATGTGTACCATTGGTTTGGGATCCGGTTAAAATGCCGGAAATTCTCTTTTCGACCTCTCGATTTCGTAAACAACACCCCCGCCACGAGAAGGCAGTGAGTAGGACTTTCCTGGCAGAGGCTATGTACGCGTGGCCATGTGAGAGCATTTGGAGAGGGAGAGCGGACTCTCCTCACTCTCGCCGTACCAGGGCCTTGTACCTAACCTTGGCATTAATACCTATAAATCCATCACTTCGTTGACTAATTCATATCGGTCATTTTGTTATTTTCCATTTTTATTCATCATATATTCGATTCAACTAATAAATTCCTTTATTTTAAAAAAAAAATGCCTCAAAATTCAGTCTCTCAATATGGAGTACAATCAAATAACTCGAATACCATTTGGTATATTTTCACGTGCATCAAATCTAACTAAATTAAATATGAAAGATAATCAAATCGGTGCTTTTCCACCGGGTAAATGTACTCTTCCATATAATTTTTTTCTTTATCCAATATTGCTCATTTGGTTGATAACTACACCGAAGCCATTCGTTTTCATTTTCACTTTTGCCGTTTATAATTACATTCATGCATACTATGTAAAAATACCTATACAAATAATATCCACATATCAATATCAGTCGTGTTAGATGTGAGACGGTTGTCACCGATAGCATCAAATGATCGTTCCACAAATATTACGCAATCTAAATGAAGTCGTAGTTATACTTTTGGACTTCAACCCATGAGGTTCTAATGGTTAAGCGTTTGCTGTAAAACCTGAAGTTCTTGAGTTTGATCCCTGATATCAGGCCCTAGGCCTTCAGTGCTGAGTCGCATGCTAGGATTAAATAGCTGTCCAATGTTTATTTTTAAATGATGCCCCAACTGACTGTTACCAATACCACCCATCGATAAGAAAATATATTTACTAGTGATTTGTTATTCTTGCACAGGCGGATTGCATTGAAAGTGGTATAAATAATCACGGTTTATATTATGCTCAGATAAAAGGTTCATTTATTAGTGATTTGTATGTGTGAGAGATCCGAGCTACTAATATATCCAACTTTGTTAATCTGGCTTGAGTTTCTTCTATGTAGTTACTATAGCGTAAATATGATACATTCATCTCCATAAATATATATGCCTAAGAGTTTGAAAAATAACCTGATGAAATGAATGAGGAGGTATACTATCATTAACAATATACTCCCCAGAATCAATTTTGCATTCGAATGATCAGAAAATCATTAATAGTTTTATAAAATCACAGTTCTAGATGGAATATTCACATTCTCACTAGACTTAGCCTAAACATATGATCTTTAAATCTTCAAGTTATCGTATCTAAATCCTAGTGATATTACTTGACTTCCCGTACTAAAGATAGTTGAGTGCACCTCAGAATTTAGTAGTTAGGGCCTATATAGCAACCTTGAGTTCTCTAAACCTCAAGTCTCGCGCATTACCTTTGCGCTGACAATTGATTGTATGAATTCATTCTATCTATAAATTTACAATCTAGTGATTTTATCACTCGTTTTATCAATTTTATTAATTGTTATTAAACTTTTAGTTTGCTTTCCATTGTCTATGCTATAAAATGTAATTCACATTCTCGCCATACATGACCTTGTTAGGTAGAAAACATTTCAGTGGTTATTACTATTTCTACTACTACTACTACTACTACTACTACTACTACTACTACTACTACTACTACTACTACTACTACTACTACTACTACTACTACTACTACTACTACTACTACTACTACTACTACTACTACTACTACTACTACTACTACTACTACTACTACTACTACTACTACTACTACTACTACTACTACTACTACTACTACTACTACTACTACTACTACTACTACTACTACTACTACTACTACTACTACTACTACTACTACTACTACTACTACTACTACTACTACTACTACTACTACTACTACTACTACTACTACTACTACTACTACTACTACTACTACTACTACTACTACTACTACTACTACTACTACTACTACTACTACTACTACTACTACTACTACTACTACTACTACTACTACTACTACTACTACTACTACTACTACTACTACTACTACTACTACTACTACTACTACTACTACTACTACTACTACTACTACTACTACTACTACTACTACTACTACTACTACTACTACTACTACTACTACTACTACTACTACTACTACTACTACTACTACTACTACTACTACTACTACTACTACTACTACTACTACTACTACTACTACTACTACTACTACTACTACTACTACTACTACTACTACTACTACTACTACTACTACTACTACTACTACTACTACTACTACTACTACTACTACTACTACTACTACTACTACTACTACTACTACTACTACTACTACTACTACTACTACTACTACTACTACTACTACTACTACTACTACTACTACTACTACTACTACTACTACTACTACTACTACTACTACTACTACTACTACTACTACTACTACTACTACTACTACTACTACTACTACTACTACTACTACTACTACTACTACTACTACTACTACTACTACTACTACTACTACTACTACTACTACTACTACTACTACTACTACTACTACTACTACTACTACTACTACTACTACTACTACTACTACTACTACTACTACTACTACTACTACTACTACTACTACTACTACTACTACTACTACTACTACTACTACTACTACTACTACTACTACTACTACTACTACTACTACTACTACTACTACTACTACTACTACTACTACTACTACTACTACTACTACTACTACTACTACTACTACTACTACTACTACTACTACTACTACTACTACTACTACTACTACTACTACTACTACTACTACTACTACTACTACTACTACTACTACTACTACTACTACTACTACTACTACTACTACTACTACTACTACTACTACTACTACTACTACTACTACTACTACTACTACTACTACTACTACTACTACTACTACTACTACTACTACTACTACTACTACTACTACTACTACTACTACTACTACTACTACTACTACTACTACTACTACTACTACTACTACTACTACTACTACTACTACTACTACTACTACTACTACTACTACTACTACTACTACTACTACTACTACTACTACTACTACTACTACTACTACTACTACTACTACTACTACTACTACTACTACTACTACTACTACTACTACTACTACTACTACTACTACTACTACTACTACTACTACTACTACTACTACTACTACTACTACTACTACTACTACTACTACTACTACTACTACTACTACTACTACTACTACTACTACTACTACTACTACTACTACTACTACTACTACTACTACTACTACTACTACTACTACTACTACTACTACTACTACTACTACTACTACTACTACTACTACTACTACTACTACTACTACTACTACTACTACTACTACTACTACTACTACTACTACTACTACTACTACTACTACTACTACTACTACTACTACTACTACTTACTACTACTACTACTACTACTACTACTACTACTACTACTACTACTACTACTACTACTTACTACTACTACTACTACTACTACTACTACTACTACTACTACTACTACTACTACTACTACTACTACTACTACTACTACTACTACTACTACTACTACTACTACTACTACTACTACTACTACTACTACTACTACTACTACTACTACTACTACTACTACTACTACTACTACTACTACTACTACTTACTACTACTACTACTACTACTACTACTACTACTTACTACTACTACTACTACTACTACTACTACTACTACTACTACTACTACTATACTACTACTACTACTACTACTACTACTACTACTACTACTACTACTACTACTACTACTACTACTACTACTACTACTACTACTACTACTACTACTACTACTACTACTACTACTACTACTACTACTACTACTACTACTACTACTACTACTACTACTACTACTACTACTACTACTACTACTACTACTACTACTACTACTACTACTACTACTACTACTACTACTACTACTACTACTACTACTACTACTACTACTACTACTACTACTACTACTACTACTACTACTACTACTACTACTACTACTACTACTACTACTACTACTACTTACTACTACTACTACTACTACTACTACTACTACTACTACTACTACTACTAACTACTACTACTACTACTACTACTACTACTACTACTACTACTACTACTACTACTACTACTACTACTACTACTACTACTACTACTACTACTACTTACTACTACTACTACTACTACTACTACTACTACTACTACTACTACTACTACTACTACTACTACTACTACTACTACTACTACTACTACTACTACTACTACTACTCATAATAATAATAATAATAGTACCTATAATAATAATAATACTTATAATAAATATATTGATATTAATATTGATAATAATAATACTACTCATAATAAATATATTGATATTAATAATGATAATTATTATTAGTGTATATGGATTGCCTTAGTTTATATTTAATATTATTTTGAAAATACTACATCATATTTGTTACTGTCTCCGTTTATTTTATTTATTCCATTTCATTATGTATATATTTGATCGTTAATTATATCTATATACTGGGAAATGTTTACAAGACATTAAAAGTTGGACAAGTTTAGTTGAATTAAATGTTGGTACAAATCAATTAACAAAGCTTCCAGATGATATAGAATATTTGAATAATTTGGAAGTATTAATTTTGAGTAATAATCAATTAAAAGTGAGTGATTTCTATTTTATTTCTGGTACTTTATGATATTCCTTATATTGATTTATACACGTATGTGTGTGCTGTACTGGCTACATTTCAACTAAACACTTTAGATAGAAACAGTGATTGTATATTTCTTTTACATCTATCTTGTTCCAATATTAACTTGTTATATGAAAATGGTGGGGATTTCAATTGAGGGGCTATGTATTTTTCATTAAATTGTGAAAGACAATTATATTGTGCAAAATTTTAGTAGAAAAAAATGTTTAATTCATTGATTCCTTAACAAATTTTTAAATGATGAAATTCTAAGATGATAACATTTGATTATTTGAACAAAATCTTATCCTTCATTCATTGTATACCATAATTAAGAGGACGATTTGTGATTTTCATTTTGATACTTTGATTTTAGGTAGTTGAAAGAAAACTCGTATAACTCAGTCATAGATTATGAAGTTAATTGATACATGTTTGTATCCCACAGAGAGAACTGGAATTCTTGATGATTATATTTAGTCACTCAACATTTTAAAACAATACACACGATGTTTAGTCACTTAGATCAGTTCACACATTTAACATTGGCTAACAGTATTCGATTAGAACTAAGAGTCTGAATAAACAATGGTCACTACTGTGTAATTAATCAATTGTTGACGCTGATTGCTTATGTAAATGAGATTATTTATATTTTTGAGGTTGAGTTTCATCTTGAACCAATTCTTTGTGATGAGTAACTGAAAAAATCGATGAGAGTACTATAGTGGTTGTTGACATAATTTGGAAATCCATCGCTTTTCTTTTTCACACACAAAAAATTCTTCATTTATTAGTCATCGGTTTATTACAAAAACATATCGTCAAATGGCAAAATTCGTTGTCTTATTCTATCCAATATCTCATAATATTGTTTATTTCCAACAATCTTTTTAATTCTTATAATTAGCAGTAAAATTGATCATAATTCATTGGATACCATACGTAACGTTTTGTAATTGATAACCAAATGTATTAGTGAAATTAAAAAATATATATATTTTTGTTTTAGAAATCATTATTTTACTTCATATATTATGTCTAGTTGATTTATTTCTTAAGAATAATATTTATAACTTCAATAAAATTGTATATTGAATAGTCTGATTAGAAATAAATAAACAGAAACGAAACAGTAGAATACAATCACTCCATATGGAATAGTTAGTTGAAAATGGACGAAAGACATTCATGTGTTGTTTTTTTATTATTGCATGAAACTTTTGAATATTGTTCATTGAGATTAAGTTCAGAAATCCAACCATGATTTCTTTGTCTTTCTGTTAAGTTTTTTATTATTACTTAACCGTCTCGAGCAACTATGGATAGTATGATTATTCATTGGAGCCTCATGGAACCTGTAAACAAAATCGTTTTGATCCCTTTGATAGATTACTATTAATGTTTATTATTTAAATGTTATGTTGCAAATTGTTGGTGTTGGGTAAAAAAAGCCTTTTATTTGATTAAAAAATAAGTCTTTTCAAACGGTTCTAATGTTTGCAGTGTTGTTTGGAGATGATGCTTGAATATTCTTGATTAAATAATAATTTCAACTCTTAGATTAGAGAATATATTTAAGTAACTGGTTATTATTACTGTAAATCCTTACAAAAAATGTACTATCGGTAAATAAATCTTAATGAATTAAAACCATAAAATTAAACAAACATGGATACATTAAGTTCCTTCCGATAAGAAAAATTCTAACAAACGATGAAAGTACTTGTTTTTTCTGGTTTTTCTTCGTTTTAAAAAGTAACAGATTTTCATTATTTTCATGTATTTTCGCTCGTGTATGTAAGGTATGCGTGTCATTTCATCAGTTGGTCAAACAATTCTTTTCACATGCATATTCCTCTGACGCACCATCACATACTAATTGTGAAATCTTAAACATGACTTAATTTCAAAATAGAATCATGTATATTGTATCTCATTGTCTTAGCTAATATGCAAATGTAAATTTCCTTGAAACGAAAAATTCCAGTTAATGTAAACAATAATCAAACGTATAGAGAAGATCGTAGTCGATTCAAAAGAATTCATTTCTACAAAAAAACAAATAGACTATAGGTGGTATTGTAGCACAAGTTATGACATACGAATTATTTGTAATGATTACTACCCAAATAATTGTACGTATTTTTGCCTTTGCATACGTATACTTACTTACCCCTCAGGGAGGGGCATAGGATTCTCATCAACATTCTCCACCGAACTCTGTCCTGGGCTATCCTTTACAGTTGTTTCCAGTAGTTATTCATTCTTTGGATATCCGTTAACCATTCTCGGCACAGTGTGTTCTTTCGGTCTTCTTTTCCGTTTCCAGTCAAGATCCCAAGTTAGTGCTTGCTTCGTGATTCAGTTTTATGATTTCCTCAATGTATGGTCTATCCACTTGCAACGGCTTTTCCTAATTTCCTCTTCAGTTGGAAGCTGATTTGTTCTCTTCCACAGTAGCCTATTGCTGATGGTATCCGGTGAACGAACATTGAGTGCTTAAAGTAGACAGTGGTTTATAAATACTTGTACTTTTTTGATGATAGTTGTAGTAGTTGTCGAAGTTTCATTTCCACACAGTAGAACTGTCTGGATGTTCGTATTAAAGATTGTGACTTTGATAATGGTTGACAGTTGTTATGAGTGCCATATGTTCTTCAGTTGTAGATATGTTTCTCTTGGTTTGTCAATTCTCGCTTTTATATTTGCATCAGCTCCTCGTCGTTCGTCGGTGATGCTGATTAGGTACGTAAACGTTTCCAGAGTTACTCCGTCGAGTGTGTCTGGGTTGGTGTCCTCTGTGTTTTATTCGAGGATCCTAATTTTTCCCTTTTGTATGTTGTGGCTTACTGCTGCAGAGGCTGCTGATACAGTAATTGTATTTATCTGCATTTGTTGATGTGTATGGTCTAGAAGAGCTGGGCGAAGTGCGAATCGTCTGGTTTCATGCAAGCTGTCCATTGTATTCCGTGCTTCCCGTGAGATGTGTAGGTCTTCGTAATCCAGTCAACCACCAGAAGAAAGAGGAAGGGAGAGAGTCGGCAGCCTTGTCTGACTCCGGTTCTTCTTTGGAATGTGTCAGTCAGCTGTCGTCCATGCACGACTTTGCAGTGTAGTCCGTTGTATGAATTCCGGATGATGTTGGTGATCTTGTCAGGCACATTATAACGTCGATTAAGTTTACATAAGCTTATCCTAATCACACTGTCAAATGGTTCCTCATAGTGAAGTAATTTGATGTATAATGACAAGTTCCATTCAACTGGTTTTTCAGGGATGATCCGTAATATCGCAGTTGGGTTTGTGCACTATCGATGCTTACGGAGTCTGGCCTGTTGACCAGGAAGTGGGGTGTCTACCGAGTCTTTCACCCGGTTCAGCAACACTCAGTTGAAGACGTTTACTGGTACCGATAGTAGTGTGATGCCCCTGTAGTTTTCACACTTGTTCAGTTCTCCTTTCTTTAGTATCCTGATGAGGTATCCTTTTCTCCAGTGTGTCGGCACTTGTTCTTCCTCCCAAATCTTCCTGAATGGAACGTGAAGCATACTTGCAGTTACTCTTGTATCTGACTTCAGTGCTTCAACTGGTATTTTGTCGTATCCTTCTGCTTTGCCGCTCTTGGTTTGTCTGATGTCCATCCTGATTTCTTCGATCGTTGGTGGAGTGACAGCCGTAGGAACGTTTGTAGGTGCTGCTTCGATGTTCGGTGGATTCAATTGTGCTGGTCTATTCAAGAGTTCTTCGAAGTATTCTCCCCATCTGTTCCTCTGTTCCTGAATCTCCATGATTGTTTTGCCATCTTTGTTTTTGATCGGTCTCTGGTATTCTATATTTTCCTGTCAGTTTCTTCGTTGTTTCATATAGCTGTTTCATATTTCCTTCTCTTGCAAATTTTTTCTCTGTCGTTACTAACTCTTCCACATATTTATGCTTGTCGGCTCTAATGCTCTTCACTTGTTTGTTTGTTTGTTTTGTGTATTCAGCTTGTTCTTGTTCGGCTGTTGTTAGTTGTCGTCTTCTTGTTCTTTTCTTGAATCTTTTCCAGTGTTTCGATGAATATCCATTCCTTTTGATGATGCTTCTTGCGGCCCAGAAGCTCCTGACAGATTGGAGTTAGTGCTTCTTTGGTCTCTTTCCGGTTGTCCTTCATAGTAGTTTCTTCTTCCTGCAGTAGATCCTGTAGGGCTTGGAACCTGTTGTTGCGAGTTATCTTGAATTCATTGAGTTTGTCGGTGTGCTGATGGAAGGCTGCATCGAAACTTTGTAATGCCGTTTCCTCAGTTCTTCTTTAGCTTTAGTTTCATTTTGATAACTACCAGGTTGTGATCTGAAGCTATTTAACATAGTCTCTTGTTTCTAACGTCTTCCATTGACCTTGTGAATTTTTTACTGGTGCAATAATTTTCGACGTCTAACCAAAGCTCGTGAAGAGCAGACTAGAGAAAACCAGGCTGGTCTTTCGACCTGGACGTGGTTGTATAGATCAAATATTCGCACTACGTCAGATCCTAGAACATAGACACACATTCAGATGCCCCACAATATTCGTATTTCTCGACCTTAAGGCGGCATTCGACTCTGTTGATCGTGAGATTCTATGGCAGTGTTTGTCACTGAAAGGAGTACCAAAGAAGTACATTAACTTCATAATTCTTCTGATTGAAGATGCTTCAAATTGGATGACAGGGTTTAAACTGCTTATTCTGATTGGCGTATTTTAGCAGCGTTGTTTTCTTCAGGTTGAGGTTGTTATGACCAGCCCTCCTTTACTCGGACCGGGACGGGTACTCAGCCTGCAATGCCTGCAGGCGAAGTTGTATATATATATATATATATATATATATATATATATGCCTGATATAGTGTATGTATGCATATGCGTATGCCGTTTTGATACAGACTGTTGTTTCCAATTAGTTTTAGGTCAGGAATTTCCGTGTCAGTTGACTATTTATCCGTTTAGTTGAAAAGTATTGATCTGCTGTCTAGACTGCGTGAGAATACGTGTCTTCCTTGACCTTGTTTTTTTTGACGAATCAATAGACTAAAACCGGAAATAAATACCAAATTACATCATTATTCTAATCAAGAAAACATCTATTCTATATTCTCAGTTTCGCTATTATTTAACATTACAAATTAGGTAAACATATATTTATAAACAGAAATTATTATTATTATTGAGTTTGAATTTGTAGGACACTGGATTTCTCCGATTCACTATTCTAAATGCAACACACCCATCACAACAGGTAAATGTTTCATGAGAAATTCTTTGCAGAATCTCCTTTTCACTATTCTGAATATTTGTATGCTAAAATCAGGCACATGTTCAGTCCACTTGGTTTTTAATAGTTTTTATACAACTGATATTATTCTGTGACGAATTTCATTTTAAGCTGCCTTTATTCATACCAGAGTATTGTGCTATATTTGATCAGGTTTAAATTTCAAATAGCATGTGCTATAAAGTCAGTAGACTTTTTCGGTGGGATTATTCAGACTAATTTATGTGCGTAGCTTAGAAAGTGTCATTGAAAAGTAAATTCATGAATTTTCCTAGTCTATTTTTGCTTATCATCTTCTTGGTCTATGTTATTTCTCGGATATGTCAATCCATAATAATGATTACTTAAATTGAATTATTCGTTTTGACTAAAATTGGATCAACTACATAAAGATTAGTCATTCTTTTCTGCTGCTCGATTTGATCATTTACCCCGTTTATATTTTTCTGTATTCTTTACTGGTGCAAAATCTGCTTCTTTTCTATCCTACTATTAGCCAGGGACTCCGCCTGGAGCCCCTTTCCGGGGGCTACTGCCGGTCCCAAGCCCGGATAAAGGAGGAGGGTTGGGCATGGGGTTAGCGACCCCATCCCGTAGAAAACTAACTCGCTAAAAAAACGCTAACCAGAAAAAATTATTCAAACCATTTAAACTCTGCCCTGGGAGTCAGGAGGTCTTCGTTTAGAAGAATTATGACGCCTCATGATGAAAGCCGAGTTTCTTCGGAAGTCACGAGGCCGATGCCCCTTCTGACAACCAAAGCAACCATTTACTTAGGTACATGGAATGCTCGCACAATGTGGGAGACTGGGAGAGTTTTCCAAATTGATGCAGAAATGAGGAGATACAATTTAGAGGTGCTTGGGATCAGTGAGACATTGGACGCAAGTTGGACAACAACGACTAGCTTCAGAGGAGCTGCTGTTATACTCCGGACATGAAGAAGAAAATGCCCCATATACACGAGGAGTTGCATTGATGCTGTCCAAACAAGCATAAAATGCACTTGTTGGATGGGAATCTCATGGACCAAGGATCATCAAAGCCTCCTTCAAAACAAAGAAAAAGGGCATTACAATGAACGTCATCCAATGCTACGCGCCTACCAATGACTACAATGAAGACGCTAAAGATCAATTCTACGATAGGCTGCAGTCAATCGTTGAGAAGTGCCCAACAAAGGACCTGACCATTCTGATGGGAGACCTAAATGCCAAGGTTGGAATTGACAACACCGGATATGAAGAGATCATGGGACGACACGGACTAGGAGAAAGGAACGAAAATGGTAAGAGATTCGCAAATCTATGTGCCTTCAATAAACTGGTCATAGGTGGGACAATATTCCCACATAAATGCATACACAAAACCACATGGACTTCACCGGATCACAGCACACAGAACCAAATCGACCATATCTGCATCAACAAAAAGTTTAGGAGGACGATGGAGGACGTGAGAACAAAGAGAGGAGCTGATATAGCATCAGATCATCACTTGCTGGTCGCCAAGATGAAATTGAAACTCAAGAAGCGCTGGACAACGGGGCGGACAATATCACAAAAGTTTAATACGGCTCTTCTTCGGGATACTGACAAACTCAATAAATTCAAGATAACCCTCAGCAATAAGTTCCAAGCCTTTCATGATCTACTCAATGGAGAAGGGACTACTATGGAGAGCAACTGGAAAGAGATAAAAGAAGCAATCACTTCAACATGTCATGAGGTTCTGGGCCAAAAGAAGCACCATCACAAGGATTGGATCACGGTCGATACACTGGATAAGATTCAAGAAAGGAGGAACAAGAAAGCAGCAATCAATACCAGTCGAACAAGAACAGAAAATGTCAAGGCACAAGGTGAATACACAGAAGTAAACAAGCAAGTGAAAAGGAGCATCAGAACTGACAAACGTAAATATGTCGAAGATTTGGGATTGACGGCGGAAAAGGCTGCCAGAGAAGGAAACATGAGACAACTGTATGAAACAACAAAGAAACTCTCCGGAAATCACAGTAAACCAGAACGACCAGTGAAAAGCAAGGAAGGCAAGATAATCACCAACATTGAAGAACAACGAAACAGGTGGGTAGAACACTTCAAAGAACTCTTGAATCGACCAGCCCCACTGAACCCACCCAACATCGAAGCAGCACTCACGGACCTCCCAATTGATGTTGGCGCACCGACAATTGAAGAAATCAGCATGGCTATCAGACAAATCAAGAGTGGCAAAGCAGCAGGACTAGACAGCATTCCAGCAGAGGCACTGAAAGCAGACGTAGCGGCAACTGCAAGGATACTCCAAACTCTCTTCAGAAAGATCTGGGATGAGGAACAGGTACTAAAAGACTGGAAAGAAGGACTTCTAGTAAAAATACCAAAAAAGGCGATCTCAGCAACTGTGACAACTACAGGGAAATCACTCTTCTTTCAATACCAGGAAAAGTCTTCAACAGGGTATTGTTAAACAGGATGAAGGACTTTGTAGACGCCCAATCTCGAGACCGACAGGCTGGATTTCGTAAGGATAGATCGTGTGCAGACCAAATCGCAAATCTACGGATCATTGTGGAACAATCAATTGAATGGAATTCATCACTCTACATCAACTTCATCGACTACGAAAAAGCATTTGATAGTGTGGACAGAACAACCCTATGGAAGCTTCTTCGACACTACGGCGTGCCTCAGAAGATAGTCAATATCATACAGAATTCCTATGATGGATTAAACTGCAAAATCGTGCATGGAGGACAGTTGACAAAGTCGTTCGAAGTAAAGACCGGTGTTAGGCAAGTTTGCTTACTCTCACCCTTTCTCTTTCTCCTGGTGAACGACTGGATCATGAAGACATCAACATCTGAAGGGAAACACGGGATACAGTGGATAGCTAGGATGCAATTGGATGATCTAGACTTCGCAGATGATCTGGCTCTTCTATCGCATACGCAACAACAAATGCAGGAAAAGACAACCAGTGTAGCTGCAGCCTCAGCAGCAATAGGTCTCAATATACACAAAGGGAAAAGCAAGATTCTTCGATACAACACAGCATGCACCAATCCAATCACAATTGACGGAGAAGCTTTGGAAGATGTAAAAACCTTTACATATTTGGGCAGTATCATCGATGAACACGGTGGATCTGATGCAGATGTGAAGGCACGGATTGGCAAAGCAAGAGCAGCATATTTACAACTGAAGAATATCTGGAACTCAAAACAATTAGCAACCAACACCAAAGTCAGAATTTTCAATACAAATGTCAAAACAGTTCTACTGTATGGGGCGGAAACCTGGAAAACTACGAAATCCATCGTCCAGAAGATACAGGTGTTTATTAACAGTTGTCTACGCAAAATACTTCAGATCTGCTGGCCGGACACTATAAGCAACAACCTACTGTGGGAGAGAACAAATCAGATCCCAGTGGAGGAAGAAATCAGGAAGAAGCGCTGGAAGTGGATAGGACACACATTGAGGAAAACACCCAACTGCGTCACAAGACAAGCCCTCATATGGAATCGTCAAGGTCGAAGGAAGAGAGGAAGACCAAAGAATACATTACGCCGGGAAATGGAGATAGATATGAGAAAAATGAACAAGAATTGGATGGAACTAGAAAAGAAGGCCCAGGACAGAGTGGGTTGGAGAATGCTGGTCGGCGGCCTATGCTCCATTGGGAGTAACAGGCGTAAGTAAGTAAGTAAGTAAGATTCATCAATAATCTTTCTAACATCCTTTACATTGCTACTTACTACAGCTTATTGTTTTCCCAAAGTCCAGAATGAAATAAAGGAGAAACGGTGTGCAAGAATAATTAATGGAAAACTTGAAAAATTGCAGTGAGGAATTTTGGTTCATGTCGAAAACACATTATATTTTTGTATAAAATTATTTTAACGGAGAATTTTCTCGATGTTAGCAAAATATTTGGAAACGAGCAGCGCTTCTAAAAAATCTACTCAAACTATGATAAATACCATTTAAACTACTCTTTATAAGTAATACACGAACACTACAGAAGTATTTTTAGTTACGTGAGTATTATCATTTTCAATGAATGGTTAGGGAGGTTCTTCTATTGAACCCTATTTAAGTAATCTAAATCGTGTGATTGCGAAAATTTAAAAAAATTTTTCACTTTAGCGAACAAAAACACTTGCCTAAAAACTTTCCACATATCTCACATTAAAGTCTTAATAATTTTAAAACAAAATTAATTTTTGAGTAGTGTGATGTTGTCAAGATTGATTTTACTGCAATCCGTTCGTTTATTGGTCGAATTTGGTCTATTGCGAAAGACAACAATATTTTATAACTTAATATTCTGGTTTCTTGTTTTATTTTACTGTTACATAGAAATAAAGTTTCCAATTGCTTTACCTAGAATTTTATTTTGTTGAACAAGGAAAAAAGGATTGTTCTTTTTATTTTATTAAATATTCTACTTCCTACTGCCCCAGTTGTTTATCGGAGTCATCATGCATCCATACACATACATACATACAAGACAGACTAGCATTATGTTCTGTAAATTAAAAAGGAAAGAAAGATATTTCCTGTTTCATACTTCACGTTAGGGAATATATCGCGACCCTGGATTGTTTTTTTTCTTTCAATCCTTAAGCGATCAATGTCTTTGTATTAGTAGAACAGAATGGTGAATGCCAATCTAAAATCATGACTTAAAAATTCCACTTAACCAATCAAAGAGGGTGATTTACGATCCATTGACCATGTAAATTCCTCGATCCACCGAAGTAATTTGCTAAATTTATCCCCAGATATACGCTTCTGGTGTCCAAAAAGGGAACTTATTTGGACCCTGGAAAGTTTAGAATTGAACACATTACATAGTTATGTCCAAGAAATTCAATATGCCTTTAATTCACATGACCTTACTTTACTGGAATTTTCAAATTACCACTCAAACCTTTTATATTCTTTTTGGAATTTATTAATATGTGTTAATTTCTTACTTCATTTTTTTCTAATCAGAAGGAAGCAGTTATCCCACTTAATAATAATGTCTTGAAACCGTCGGAATAACATCTGTCTCAATAAATATAATGAACCTTGTATATAGAATACACTTTCCGAAAGGTAATGAATTGAGAAATTAAAAACTATAGGTGTTAAAATTAAAACCTTGGTTAAAGACAAAAACTGAAGACAGTTGCAATGGAATTCTAGCCGTGTCACCGATAGTCTCTCTAAACAATAACTCTTTTACTGACACAATTCAGCTCACCAGTCAATAACTATTTGGACTGGTGCCAAATCTCGGCATGGCAGCATTTATCCTCCTTTTTTCTGTTAACTACAATTGATTTTCGAAGTGGTTGATGGTTGGTTATGTATTCCACTACCTTGCTTGATATAATTTATTTTTAAATAGGTGTAGAATTACGATCACATAAACATGCTTCATCGTCTCTTTAAATACTATTTAGTTAATCTAACAATAACGATTGCACTAAGTCCGTTTGATCTTTTCGATGTGATCTATAATTTTTTTTAATTCTCTTTTTAATGTGCTTATCTTACTTTGTTATTTCTTTCTTCCCTCTCTTACTCTCTTCCTTCTACTACTAACCTTTCGTTACTTTTTTCCCTGTTATTTCCCTAGCAAATCCCAGTAACTATTCGAGAATTACAAAAACTACAAGTTTTAGACTTGGAAGAAAACCATTTAGAATGTTTACCGCCAGATATTGGTATGTGATCGTTTCTTTGTTTGTTTTGAATGGTGCTTTTACTGTGTAAAAATTTTCTTCATTTTGTTAACGTTGTCTTTCTAATGCTTTTTTTAAAAGGAAGGGATTTTGTCGAGGGTTCTTTTGTAATCAATGACTGACATCAGTTAGAGACAGCTGTTTCCTTCTAGTTTTTGACTTTATAGCAGCACACATTCATACACCTACACGGAGCCCACTCTATTACATATGTCTAAATTTAAGAGGTATATTTTATACTTACAGAATAACTAATGTGACTAAGTTTAAATATAATCAATCTCATTTCATTAATTCATATCATTATAGTTTACTAGTAACTCTAATGTATTGAAGTAGGTAAATTCGTCCAATGTATATTGGAATTCGATTACATTACTAGGTCATAACAGTTGATCATTCATTCACTGCAGTTTACTAAGACCTGCCAAGTTTACTTTTTATTGTCAAGTAATTTACAAAATTCTACTTGCTTTGGATCGAACCCTTCAGAATGAATATTTTATTATATATCCTGTAATCATAAACTATACTATACCTCGATACTAAGAGAAATCATGTCTTACAAACAGTTTCGATTTATAGAAAACAAAAAATAACCTGATTCGAATGGCTTATCTAATTTGTTAGAATAATTATGTAAATACATTTCAATGTTCTATTGAATTTGAACACTATTGCGGACTAGGCATATATGTGGTGTGTGCTATTCATATTGATAGATATAAGTAGTATGTATCAGCAGTCGGAAGTGGATTGCCTGTCAGTAAAAGATTGAATTGAACAGAACGGGAAGGGAAACAGTGCACTGTCGTGAAGCATATAAAAGGCAACTGAAAGAAGGTGCGCAAATCATGTAATTAGTGTATGGTTTTCATATTTTATGACGGCAGTTTGTAATTTTGCATTGATAAATAAATTAGTTTTGTCCACCTGAGTTCTTGTTCTTTATATATAAATATTGATGATTTAGCGTGAACATATCACTTTTGTAAAGGAGAGATGGTTGATCAGTCATTCTCAACTCTATGTTGTTTTTTTTTTGTTGCTGAGACATTAAATAATACTTACTTTAACGAGTTTATTCAACTAACTGTAGAATTAAAATTAAGTAAATTTGTTAGATCATATAAATGAACCTTTTGATATAATATAAAACATATTGGGAACTTGTGATATGTATAGTAAGTTTGTGTGTCAAAACGAAGCAGAAAAAGTCACTTGTTGTTTCTTACATTATCTATATTTACGGATGATATTCGTTTCAAGTGTCGTTTTTCAAACCATATACACTGTTACTTCTGGTTTCATAATCATTTTGAATTTCCACCATTTGTTGGTTTTTATCAGGTTATCTAGGTGAACTTCAAAGATTGGTGGTCCAATCGAATAGACTGACTAGTTTACCTCGAGAAATTGGGTAATTATTATTTTTGTCTTTTATCTAACTGAGTTATTTGATAAACAGAGATTTTAATCATATTTTACGTGCGTTTATGTGTCTTTTATATCCAAGTATATCGATTCTTCAATTCAAATATAATGTCTAAAGGTTAAAAATCTGGACAATAAAATATTCATTTTCATTTTTTTCTGTGTAAACATGAAATTCCAGACTTCTTCTATGGGGTTAATTTTTTCACCATTTATTAACACCAAAGCTGTAGGATGTTTAAAAAACAGAGAACATTGAAAAAATGTTTTGGATCAGCTTAAAACACTAATCTGTAGTGATCAATCACATAGTGATACCTAGTTAATCCCCTTGAGGTTTAGCACTGACCACAATATGCATCTAGATTACTAATTTTCGATAGAATAGTTCATTTTTTCCGAATACCATTAATTTAACATACTGTACATCGATTATTCAGTTTCAGCGATGGTATTTTTTGTATTCTCAACACGGTGTAAGTGCGATAATTACAGGTTTTCACTATTGGAAGATTATGGACTATGCCCCTAGGACCTAGTAACAGACACAATATATTAATCTACTTGAAACTTTTACATCCTTAATAGGTGTGTGCCGGTTCATAGTTCACATTAATGAGAAGTAGCCCTTAATCAATTCGAAATAGTTTTACACTCCATCTAATTTTCAGTCGCTTTCTGAGCTGTGTTGCCTGTGTTTAACATGTATCTGATTTCCTGTTGAGAAAATCTCTACAAACGACTTATTTTATGTATGTTTCTTTTGAAGCTATTACTTAATGTAGTTATGTAGCATTTATTGCAATATGAATTTTTAAAATGTACGAGAATAACCAAAGTCTTTCATGTGTAACATGAAACTGATTTCGGGTTAATCAAATAATAATGGTAAACCATATTAATGAAAATTAGTACTTAGCGTATTGTGATACGTATTGTACTCGGATGTTTGACAATGACTTCGTACACGGTTCCTAGATCTCTAGAATTTTTCCACTCTTTAGACTGGAACGGTAGAGTAGAGCAAATGAATAGAGACAGAACTTTCACTCCGACTTCTTTAGTTATACAAAAAACAACAGTATTTATATGTTATTGTCAACCTTGGTGTTCTTGAAATTTTTCGATCAAACATTTAATGATCGGTTTTATAATCTCAATTATACTCAGCAGCTGAGAAAGTTCTTTTTAATAACGACCTTGGCGACTTATTACTTCACAGTGTGTGTAGTTTACCTTTCTCTTGCATAAATTAGTCAGTGGTTTTAAATTTGAACTCATTTATAAAATGTAATCAATTATTACTTGAAATGAATAAATTGAAACTTCAACTCACATCCCAGATAAATAAACCGTTAAACATAACAATTGTAAATGAGGAAATTCAATAACAATGAGCTTAACAAGAACATGTTGCTCTGTGAATCCTTATGGATATAAAAATATTGTAACGTGCGAATGGAACCTAAAGTTTTGTTGGCAATAAACTTATCATCCATATTTATTATTCTAGTATTTTATGGATACGTAAATGATTATAGATGATCAATGCACTACATTGATTAATTTGTCATTATTACGATTATTTATGTTTTCAACAAGTCATTGATTATTAGGGGATTCAAGCAGATACCAGAAAAAATATAAATCTTAACCGTGCATGGATTGAGGAGTATATATATATATATATATATATATATATATATATATATATATAGAGAGAGAGAGAGAGAGAGAGAGAGAGTTAAATATATTGATCATTAATTCAATAATCTCGTGGTGCATCATCTTTCCTTTCAAGGTTATTTCGCCCCCAAACGCCCTGGGGAGAGTCCGCTTTCCCTCTCGAAATGCTCTCACATGGCCATGCGTATACAGCCTCTGCCAGGGAAGTCCTACTCACTGCCTTCTCGTGGCGGGGGTGTTGTTTACGAAATCGAGAGGTCGAAAAGAGAATTTCCGGCCCTTTAACCGGATCCCAAACCAATGGTACACATGGACTCCAGTATCCTGAAGGAACAAATGGAGTATGAACCAATCGTTGGTCAATGGCTACCATGGGACTGCATCTCCTCACGATGCCCCACTGCCTTGTGGATCAGATGTTCAGGTCGAAGGCTCGGAGTGTGGCCCCCTAAGAAAACCACCTGCTTCGGTTTGGGCACCCGAGCAGTATCACAGCCCTCACAGATATCAATTTAGATTTGTGTGGCGCATATGTATTTGGTGCCTCCTTCAAGGTTATTTCGCTAGTGTTTTTGATGTACTTTTCCAATGATAATTATATCAGGTTGCATTGATGATAATCGTTTTCTTTATTACTTGAACCTTTAAACGAAACTCTAAATTTTTATTGTTCTGTTAACAGCATCATTAATTATCTAAATCTATATATAAGTGCCTGTTCTAAATTTCTTTTGCTTTATCTGTCTTTTTCAGTCGCTTATATAATTTGATTTATTTAGCTGTTGGTGAAAATGAACTACAAAGTATACCGAATGAAATTGGTGAGTTTTATTCCTCTATTATTATTATTATTATCTTTAATCTACTGTTATTATTACAAGCTTTCCATTGTATTATGATTGGGTTTTTTTAAAATTAAGTTTTAATAACCTTCACTGTCGGAAAAAAACGTTGTTGGTCATCTATTCAATGAACCTCAATTTCGTATTTAATTAAATATGTTATTTTTTATCGAGGCAATTTATAGAGATCTAATCTTGTTTGAATATTTTGTCAATAAATAACTGCTTTACCATTACCTCTCTTCTCCTCTACCCTCCTCTTCACACACACACACTCAATACGAATATTTAGTCGACTGTTTAGTGTTTGCACTTTGACTCAGTCGTATTAGTAAAATGTTCTTAAAGTCACCTCGTTCGATTCTCAGTCATTCCATTTTTTGATAGTCTTTAATAAATCAATTATTCGGATCATAAATGTAGGTTCAAAGCTTTACTAGGAAATAAAATAACAAGATAATGTAATGAATAAGATTTAAAAGAAATTAATTATGTTTAGGTATCGCATGTACCTTTTTTTAATTATTTCCATTTCATTTTAATAATGAGTAATTACGTTTTCGTTTATTTATCATGAATTTAGTTGATGACTAAACAAATGAACTAATGATTCCGTACATTTTGTTGAAAATAGAGTCGTAAATTAATAGAATTTAAAACTAAATTGTCAGTCACCATTCCAAGTAGTATAATGCAAGTAGTTGATATGTTATCACTCTTCTTTGATATGGAAACTGCATTTTAAGTTAGAATTCACAAAAATATACATTTGTTTGCTTTTTAACGTTGATAAAACACGCCAGTTTGTTTGTCACCCAAAATGAAAACATTTAACTGAAAGATTTCAATGCATAAGATGCCCATTAATTAAATATTTAGCTTTGGTGTTAAATAGTTAAAAGTTGTTAGCAAGAAATCTTAGACCTGTACTTCACAATAGGTTTTATTTATCAGTAATATATATTTTTAATCTTCAGGGGATTGATACTCCTTTGGAACTTCGAACCTGTGTCACCTACATTACAACTTGCTCATTAGAACTCCATTTGCACTGAGGACTAGACAAACGTAACATTGGTTACTATTCAGTGACTAATCAGTGTAAATACCTTACCTTTTGAAGTTGAGGCTCATAATTAACTATGCATCAAAAGTTGCTATCAGTCATTCTTATTCCAAAAAGTCATTACTTTATAACTGGGAGCATAATTAGTTTCTCAGTCTAGTTCTTTCTTTTGTATATGTTTTTATAAGTCTTTCAGTGGATTAGGTATTGTTTAGCTGAATACTTATAGACAGATCGAGGAATGATGTATATTAACCATCTTTTTCTACTTCTTTCTTGTAAAATAGTGAGTAGCTATATTAGATTTAAGCGTAAAAAATCAGATTGTTTTGAGTGTATGCAACTTTCAACTCGAAATAAATTCAACTATACATTATTGTCCACATAATGTTAATCCAGTAAACAAATAGTATTAATTAAAATGAGACTTTTAATTACTTATATATACTAGGCAAATGTTACACTAGATAATTATTTTTGCAATCAGTATATTTTAACATAATTTAAGACAAACTGATTCACTAGTTAATTGCTGCTTTGGTTAGGGCAACCTGAATAAAAATTGATGAACACACTGAACATAAATTACATTATTTTTAATTTATATATTGTCAGTGAAGATGAGAAATACCTAAATGTATAAATTTATAAACCCTTTACTTAGTGATCACCAAAGCATTAAGTTCTCACCTAAAAAATCTAACTTTTGAACATCGGTTTATCCATTTCGCTATTTAGATAATCAGTCAGACAGTATGATCATCAACTTGTCAGACAGTTTAACTAAATTTGAGTGCATTAACCTACATTGATTTTTATAAAATGTTCAATATTTGAAGTGAGAATCGATTTACACTTTTCATCTCGTTGGTAAATCTGTCCAAATTGTATGTAGTGTAATGATTTAGCAAATTAAACCATTAAGTCAGCAGTCGTGGTTAACAAATCCACTTTATAGCCTAACCATTATGTGTTAAGACACAAGCAGATATTCATTTTCTCTAATCATATGTATTTGACATATTATTATCACTTTTGCGTTTCTATCTATACTATTTTCATAATTTTAAAGGTGATCTGCATAAATTGGAAACATTATATTTAAATAATAATTTGAATTTACATGATCTTCCAACTGAATTAGCTATGTGTTGTAGTCTACAAATGATGTCCATTGAAAATTGTCCTTTAACTCAAATTCCTGTTGAAGTTGTAACTGGTGGTCCTTCACTAGTGATTCAAGTGAGTTAAAAGATTAAATTAAAAATTAATGTTTCCTGATTACTGTATAATAAAATTTGTTTATAAATATATCAGAATATATTTTGTAAATATTCAGTAATGATACGAAACTATGTGTAAAATAAAAGATTCTTTTATTGTTATTATTACATAGCGTTTGATGATATTGGAGTCGCTGCAGTATTTGTAATTTCTTAATCCATGAAAAAATCATATACAACACACCAAACCACATCCATTGTGTAACACTACATCAGTTCAGAAATAAATTATTACAATTTGTAATATTCAAAAGTAAATCATATTTACAAAAGTTATAGGATATGCGAATAAACGATAGATTTGAACTACGCTCGATCCACCTTGGTTAAGACGGTTGATTATTATCACTAAGCCTCAAAGAAACAATTTAACTCAAAGCCAGTTACATAATTCCTTGTAATTGTCAAATAAGTGAGCATTTAAATACACTAGAGTGTTTTTAGTGGATCTTCAAGAACTTATTAGAAAGTTCATGTTTTCGATGAAAATAAAGCAGGAATTCATCCATACCATTATTGTTTAGTTCAGTCTTTATCATCTACGATCTCTATCTTAAGCAGATTAATCATCAATAGCCTTAATAAATTCATCAAAATATAGACAACTTTAATTCACTTGATATTGTTTTATTTGAATCTTCCCATTGATGTTTAGGACTGAAATTGTTCATCTTTGCTTATAGACAACTTTGTTATTTTGTATTAAATATATAGGTTAATTGTTTAATACTGGATGCTTGTTGCTATGTTAAACAAAGATAGTGTACCCATACACCAAAATAAACAATATTATGCATACAGGCCTTCAAATACACTCTTTTACGTGGATTCGCGGTTTTCCATGCATGTATCGCAGTATAGACTAATCAATAGCATAGGAATTTAAGTAAAAAATACATAACTTATCTGCAGTAACTGTGTTGACAGACTATACTTCGTTTACAGGGACTATATATTGTCTTCTATTCAACACTAATGGATTTAAATGTAGCTCTTATCATTGATTAAGTTGGACACTGAAAAATCGCCTGACATTTGTTTCATCCGGTCATGGGTCTATTCATAATGTATACACTCAACCCTGTCAGGAACCGTACCAATAAACTTTACACCGTGTTTTATTTATAGCCCGAATTTAATCAAATCACGACTGTACAAACAGACTTTTAATTATGAATTCTCTTGTTCATTTCTAATGATAACACTCAATAATATTTTCCTTTAGAATTTCAGTTTTCATTAAACCTTTATCTTTCAGTTAAAGATGTCTGTTGTGATCTTAGAAACGATTTAATATACTTAATATTCACTTGTTTTCAATACTATTTTTTATTACGCTTCGAGTTTGTGAACCTTAGTGATATTGCCAAAGTCTTAATTACTAATCATGCACTCAGAAATACTGTACGAATTGTGTTCTGTTTTGTATTTGTGTTGTAATACTTAATAAAATGTATGTTGGATAATTTTATTTAGTTAACTTCATTTATTCATAATAAGTACATGTCTTCAAACTGGTCAACCTATGTTGAACGGCTAATCTCTTCATCTTGTACAAATCTTAAATATTGCTGTTTGCTATAATATGTATTACTAACTTGGTCGCTTCCGCTCTACTTAATCATGAATTTGACATTTTATTAAGCTTTAGTGCTTTTATGATTTTCAACTGATCAATTGGTAATTTTGAGTTGAATATTAAATTATCATACATTAATGTAATTGAATGCTTTTTTTTAAAAAAATCTTTGTATAAACAATTTTTTGTCCTTTTTCATTTTAGTATCTACGTCTACAGGGCTCTTTCAGTCATATATAAATCGTTAAGCTATTTCAAATTATTTCTTCGCCGTATCTTGGAATTTTCAACATCATCGAAATATAAAATAACAGGAAGTAAGAGTTTCCTGTTGTTAATAGATGATACATTGATTCCATATGTCAATTAAATTGTGTTTTTTGTATACTTATATGCTCATAATTATGTACACATGTATGATAGCACATTTGTGTGCTTCAATTACTTCAGAACCTTGTGATTTAACATTATTACACCAAACTTATTTTTGAAATATCTCAATCTGCACAAAATATTTATGTAAATTACTTAGAATAGATAAAAAGCTTCTTTCATCATTGTCCAGTTTTTAATAATATTTTAACTTGTGTACATGTTGATGATCTTCTTTGCATGTAATAGTTAGCTAACAGTAAGTTTATGATTGATCATTTGAGAAGTCTTTCGCTTCTGATTTTTGATTTATTTTTGTGAATATTTCTCTTACAGTAGATCAGTAAAATATTGAAAAATGTTTGTATAAAAACAATCAGATTTCTTAATGTGCCAGTGTGTATGTGTATTCATCTTTTCTTTTTCTCTTTAATTTTCTGTTATTTAGTATATTTCCACTTTCATAAGAGTTTTTCACTTGTTATTTTATCTCTAAAATCTAGTCTCAATGTATATGCATTTAATATACTCTGTCGATTGTACTGTTAAGCCATAAACTTTAAAATGTAATTACTTTTGCATGGCTATCACGCCCCTTAGAACGGTGTAATGAGACAAATTAATAACAATAGGATATGAACTGTTCCGCGATATATATATATATATATATATATATATATATATATATATATTCAATCTCTTCTACTTGCATATCCCTAAATAAAACGAAACATCAAAATTCTGTGTAATTATTATTTTTTGTGACTTCATTTTTTTGTTCGTTTTAACTTTCAGACTATTTCTAACGGTTTATCATTATCTTCGTGTTTATTTCTGATTATTTAATTTTTTTTGTGACTTATAAAAGCGTATCTTTTCTTTGATTTCTTTATTCAGCTTCACTCTTTTTGCTTGTTGCTTATCAGTCAAGTTTCTAATATATCTAAATGTTTATATCGCTTTTTCTAAGAATAATTTGATATAATTGATTTTAGCTGAAGGACAGATTAGTGTTTTCTTTACAGAATTAAAAATTGTTGAAATACATTGTTGACATTTTACTGGTTTTAACTGTGATTAAGTTTTCACATCAGTAGTGTGGCATAACAAATATGGGTTGAGGTTTCGTATCACTTTTCATTTAAAACATCTGGATTCTGATAGTCTTCAGTTTTAAATGTGACCTACTTAGTTCATTATCCTAAACTACATGTTACATATTTTGTTTTAATCTCTAACAAGAGCAATGGAAAGTACTGTAAATGATTCTTTTGTTTATTATTTACTGTTGAACTACGATACCGTGATATGATTAATTTTTATATCTTTCGAACTGAGCTGTCTAAGTGATATTTTTCTTGCCTAAAATAAGAATCAGGTAGTTGGAGTTGATGAAAGCAGGTGTAACATGATAACTGAATATAGTGGTAGAGTACTGAAGCAAAATTGGTATGCTATGAGCCAAAGCTTATAACATGACGAATTCGAGTCAAACTCTTCATAACCGAATAGTTGTGAGTCTTGACTATCAGAACTTGCGTAATTGTCTAAGACATTGGGCGGTTATTTAGGTACCCCAATCTCGAATATTCCAATGAAACCTTGTATTAGCTGTTAAACCATTTTCCATACATCCTTGAGATATTTTAGCCGACACAGAACAGTTTCCTTTCATCTTTTGATAGACGTGGCTGATCATATGAACCTACTGACAAACTAATGTAATGTAAATGGAAGTCTTTTAGAGGGTAATCAACAGGTTATACTGCGAAGCTATAAGTAAATTTAGATCATATCAACACTTGGTCGGTTGTTTGTCTTCAGTGATTGGAGTGAAGCATTGATTTACAGTTTAATAATTCAAAGGTGTTTATTTATAGTTATTAGTAATCCTTTGTCGATTGGCAGTCTAACATTTTTCAAAATGCACTGAGTATTCAGAGTTTAACCCAATGAACATGAATCAGTAACGATGATTAAAATTTACAACTATGTAAAAAGAAAACTACGTGATAGCGAATGATATAAAAATTATAAATAAGAATTTGTTCAATGTCTGAAATTTTGTAATATAAACCACCGTAATGAAAATAGTGTTATCGCATAAATATGTACAGCTTTTGTGTTGCACACAACCGATAACAGGATTTCCTCGATATTCTGTTTAAGAAACATCGAAGTATATTTATGAACTGCTGAAGCACTTTTTAAGCATGATTAGTTTAGTTTTTCTCCTAAGTTCGTAAAGAATGGGTTTGATCTTACATTATTTGAAAGAACCAGTAGGAATATGTCTATATAGTCCTCAAAACTTTAAAAACTGTTTGGAAGAACTTTCAATAATTTTGAAACATGAGATGGAAGGCGTAATTTCTTTTTTTTTCTGGTTCCACATTACCACGATATTTCTCTTTGCAAAGTTAACCTGTTAAGCAGTATCTTTTTCAGAAGGTTCATTTTAGGACCTCTAAATCGTGTGGTCTGTTTTTCTACTGAACAAAATATTCCGTAATAACTTGGGAGCTAAGCGAAATATGAAAAGGTGAATTTTAAATATCTATGAGCTGCCCACTAGATCCATGACACTGAACATCAACAGTCCCTCATATCTTTTGTACACTATTCTGCTCTACGAGCATCTGGAGGTTGTCTTCATTTGATATAGAATCTAAAATTTTGTAACTTTCGGCCAAACCGACGAGGAGAGGGTAGAAAACTATTATATAGAATCAGATAATATGTAACGGAAGCTTGTTTTAACTGGATGTATGGCTTTCAATAATCTATCCATTGGGATAATTTTCGCATTTAGACTTAAATCCGGTTTTGATTCTGCAAATAAGAAGGCGATCACACAGATAGGTCCAGAAGAATGGCACATGGGAAAATTACATTGTATGTGATCGATAAATGTGCTCGTCAGCAAGAGTCTTTCACCAAGCCAAGTATACTGCCCATATATCCCTACTCGGACCATATCACCAACGGAATTATAGTTATTATTTTCCTGTCTTTGAAATAGTTCGTATCACAGATTTTCGTTTTGTTAACTCTACACTTTAGGTTTATAATGCGACTGCACAGTGTATATGTTACATTAGGTCTAACTATATAATCTGACAAGCGCATTTCAAGCATTCGTCAACGCACTCCTGGACTCATGATAAGTGTGATGCATGTATTTTACAGGGCAAGTAAATGGAATAATTGAAGCAGGAGCAGTAGTATTTTACTTACGGTGTTTATTACAGACAATATCAAATAATTACAACTGGGTACTTATTTCGGAATGACGGATCTTTCCAAGCGGCACAGTACGGCCGTTAGGTTATGGGTTTTCGCACACGTGTAACATATTGTCGTGGATTTTTTGTGTCGTTATTTATCAGCTATTAACAGGCTTTTTTTCCATCCCACGTACATTTTTGTATTGTTTATGCTTGCTACATAGTTTTTATTCCAAATTATTAGCAGTTTGACGTATTATTTGCTTACCACCTTAGTGACTGTTTAGTAAGCCTAATTAGGTTATTTGTAACAATACAAACTCAAGCAAGTAAGATTCACTATTTTTCAAGTTACAAAATAGGTCACAGATTACGTTTTCAAGGAAATAAGCTCTAAAACTTATTACATATGGTTCACCTCGTTCATTGTGGTGATGATGAACATGGATGTTGGTAGTTGTTTATAAAATGTAGGTACAAGCAATTAAGCGTGTACACTACAAGAAAGAGAATGCTAAATTAATGCGTTTGATAATTATTTTGTGCTTTTCAATGCAGCAAAACATGACTTAATTATGAAAAAACTTGACACTCATGAAACCCAACCACCCCATGGCAATAGAAATGCGGAATGACCGCCTCTTGTCAGGCTGTTCAAGGTCGTTGAAACGAAAGCGCGGGCAGCTTCGAACGGTCATAACGTTTTTCCTGTGCCTTGCCAAGCATATGGGATGTCAAGCGAACTACTCAAATGTTACTCGCTTAAATGCGTTCGTCTGTGTGAACAGATAATGATTTGATACCCCTCGTAATCTACCTCTACTCATAATTTAATTATTTCTCCCTCTTTGATCATTTTTAAAGTCTAGTTTGTTGAATTCGAAATCGTTCGATTCCTACAATAGTGTTGTTAAATCCTGTGCATGCGACATCTTTTTGGTCTTAAGCAAATCGTTTATTCATATTTGACATATTGTTTACATCAGATGAGCGACGTAGGAGATAGATGAATACCTATTTAGGTTCGGATAACGTAAAGTACATGGCTTTCATGATTATACATGCAGCCTTACGGTATTTGACCGACGCCACAACTTTATTTCGGAATGGTTCTATATCGTTGGGATCGATGCAAAACTTTTGAAAATGTAAAACATAACTATCGCAGATACATTTATCTTGATTGATTGGTAAATTATACCGTTGAAAACGACAAACGTATCCTTGTTATAAGTATTTCTAGTCGCTATGAATGAATACGAGGCCAGTGAAGTATTAAATTAACCAGTTATGTCTGATTGCATGAAATAGTGATACTGCTTTTGTATTTTCAGATTATTTTCTATCATTTGTATGTTTTATATTCTTTATGATGGTACATAAACCTAAGTTGTTTAAGGCTCTTTCGCCCTTTACCTTTCAAGTCATTTCATTTTAGCTTAAACTATCAACCCGAGGTTCTGCTATGCATATTTCAACATATGCGACTTTTCTGAACCTTCAGACACTGTAAAGGAGGCTGTACTCAAAGGCCAGGACCTAATAGACCGACAAATGTTAGATCTGATTTTCAGTAATAATGCGTTTCGATATGGCTTGCCAACAAAAATGTTACTAAGTATGAGAGAGGTCATTGGTCAA